TCAGTCGCAGCGGGGTCATCCGCCAGATCTCACCCCATGTGAGTATTCTTGGCAATGCGCTCTCCAGGCTGACCCAATGGTCCTGCTGCGACTGCTGGGCTGCTTTCTGAACCTGAACCTCGTTTTCGTTGTCCCTCACCGTTTGTATAACCATGTCTCGGCGCTCTTCGGCTGAGGCCTTTGACCACCAATTGACCTTTTCGTGCCCTAGGCTTCGACGGTCGGTTTGAGTGTATCCCATTATCTCCTTCAGTTTTAGTGCATTCTGGGCAGATTCAATCGCATCGAGGACCCTCCACTTCTGGCCAGTCTTTAGAGCGGGCTGGACAGCGATGACATTTGGGTCTGAAGACTCGCGCAAGAGCATGGCGAGTCTTACCTTGCCGACTTTAAACTCTTCGGTTATCGATTTGAACGGAAGTACCAGCTTAGCCTGCTTACAATACAGAGCCACGTCGGTCAGACAAGGCGGTGCACCAATCCACTTTCTCAAGGCTGTGTTGATTTTCTTCTCCATGGTTTCCACTGCAGTCATCGTCACCTCGTAGACTAACAGTGGCCATAGGAGCTTTGGAATCAACATGAATTGGAGACACCATACCTTGAATTTTCCGACCAGCCTGCATCGCTCGATCGCGAGCAGGCCTGTAGCCAGTGACTCGTGTATTCGCCGGACTTCCGCTCTATCAGATAACTTCGAATCGTAAACGCGACCAAGGCTCTTCACCTTTTCATCCAGAACCGTGGGGATCTTGTTTCTTGCCACCGTAAAACTATTTGCCACCACCCGACCCTTATGGATTGACAGACTCCTTGACTTCTGCGGTTTGAACTGCATTTCGCTCCATTGGACCACCGCGTCCAAACTTTCCAGGATCGTGCGGGCAGACTCCTCGCTGCCCGTTATAATAGTCGTGTCATCCATAAAGGCACGTAATGGTGGCATCCAGTGATCCCCTATTTGAAGGCCTTGTCCGTAGCCGGCCGCCCTGTCTAACATGATCTGCATTGCCATGACAAACAGTATGGGTGAGATCGTACAGCCCATAGCTATCCCAATCTGCAACTCAGTTCATCTCGTGGTAAACGTCGAGGTAGAGAAGCGCAAAGCGAACTTAGAAAAATATTGCTCGATCATTTGATTGATCTGTGCCGGTACGTGAAACATGCGAAGGGCTCGCCACAATAGCCTATGGGGGACTGCGCCGTAGGCGTTGGCTAAGTCCAACCATATAACGTGCAAATCAGTTCTCTCATGCTTGGCTCTCTGGATAGCCTCCCAAATCATGGTCGCGTGTTCAAGGCACCCAGGAACGCCTGGAATACCACCCTTCTGAACACTCGTATCTATGTACTTGTTAGTCATCAGATACTGTGTGAGCCGGCGAGCCATGACCGAGAAGAATATCTTACCCTCGACATTCAACAGCGAGATGGGCCTGAATTGGGAAAGACTCTTCGAGTCCTGCTTTTTGGGAATGTAGACCCCATTTGCCTTTGACCACTCTGGACATATGTGATTACGGATCCACGCTTGTCTCAACAAGACGTGAAGCATTTTTAGGATTTTCGGGCAGCGCTTGTAAAAAGCGTACGGGACACCGTTCGGACCTGGGGCAGACTTGCCGCTGGCCTTTTTCACAACTTCCTCAACCTCAGACCAAAGGGGAGGTATCATTTTAAATGGTACCTTTGGCACCGAAGGCTGTTTGAGACCGCTAAGGATCTCTGGATTGTCATCGAGAGGCTCTCTCCTCTTTTTATCAGAGTACATCTTGCGTAGATGTAGCTCAAGTTCTTCCTGACTGACAACCAGAGTCCCAGACTGGGGTTGCTCGAATAGACCTCGGGCAAACTGATACGGGTCCCTAAAGAATTTCTCTCGCTCCCTTTTGGTTCTTCGTCTGTTGTTACAGAAACGCTCAGCGCGACAGACGGCACTGTTTTTGTTCTTTAAATGCAACCAAACTTCGTACAGCCCCTCCCGTTCGCTGCCTGTAGCGGCTTTGAACCGTTTTCTGAGGGCATTCTTGTCTGCCCGACACTTCAGAATGTCCCTCTGTCTCCTGCTAGTATTCTGCTTGGCACCCGGCTGTGCCTTCTCCACTGTCCCGAACTCGCGGGAGCAGTGTTCATATATAACATCACCAAATTTCGTAAGCTTGTCGCCTAACGACTTCTTGTTTAGATCTTGTTTAAGTACCTCACATAATGTAGCCTCCAACTTACACCACACCACCTTCTCGCACGCAGGTGGAAACCTGATCTTTGAACGCACTTCCTCAGAAATCATCAAATGTGCTCCTCCGCAGTCGACGTCATGGGCCTCTCTGGGCGAGTGGGGTTCACCCTGCCCGTCATTCCCTGACGACTCAGAAACTACCACAGGAGTAGTAGTTTTGCGACGGCGTTTACTGCGTGGAGCACCCTAGCATTTCATTCTTCCGGCATGCGTTCTCAGACCATGCTACCCCGTGAAGCTCTTTCCACATGTACAGAGCCAGCCCGGACGTTGGGCGAGTATCTGAGTCTGGGGGCTAGCATAGTCGTCACCGAGATTATCAATTTGATTGGGCCCTTCATTCCCCCCCCCCTTTTCGGAGGGCCCTGGGGGCATATTTCTATGTGGTTGTACGAAATCGGAGGTATTATACTGTGTTAGGGGTGATCAACCCGGTCCACAGTCGACATCTGTCTCCAGATGTCAGTTTATCCCCCGGCGATACCGGGAGGCCAGTCTTTCCATAGGTGTCACAAGGTCTTTCCCGAGAGTCACCAGTCTTTCCTGGTAGTCTTGTGGGCTAGCCACGTACAATAGGAATAAACTCACAGGGAGCAAGTACAGCAGGGATCTACCAGTCATCAGTAGAAATTATCCTCGTCGACACGCGTTTCGGCCCACGATTCCTAGACGCATTCGGAGGTGGGCCCACCTGAGTTCATGAAGCTCAGGGCTGGTTCCCTGCTGCACGAGATTACCGAATGGTGTTTTTCTTTCGGCCAGAGACAAGATGACTTGGTGGTTTGCAGAAGGTACTGTGAGATAAGAAATCGCCGCGGCAGCCTAATTAAAGCAGTCAGCGTGCCTGGACGACCGAGCGACAAGCTTACAATTGGTTTACCGGACACATGTTGGACTTTTATTAGCAGTTGGCAGAGGAACACTGGCAGACAATTCGGACACGATGGACTTTCAAGGGGTGAGAAACCCTTTTCCACTAGACACCCGGACCAGCTCACCGAGGCCCGTCCCCTACGTTGTTGCGTTGCGTCCAAAGTCAGCTAGAGGCCCTTTCGGCTACCTCTCCCAGTTTTTTGAGTGTTCGTTTCCGTTCATTATCGCGCACTCCTAGTTCTTTAACCACATTGTAGAGCGAAGTGGAAACGAGGCCTCTCGCTCCCACTTCGACGGCAAAGACCCGTACCGTGTACGCCTCGTTTCTCCTCAGACCGGCTGCTAAATCACTGTATTCTATACTTAGTAGAGCAAATGCTTGCCTTGTTACATTGTTCTTTCACTTTTTACCCCCAACATAATTGAGAATATGCGATTTTATTCCACGGCTATTAAAAACTTCTGTGGAGCCGCCTCCTTTTGTGATGCCCTAAACACGGGCTTGGTGTGATTATTTGTTAATCATACCTTGCCAGTAACTGCAAGATAGGTTGAATGTGATGTTTTTCTGTATTATCTAGTTCTAGAGTTTACACACCGCAGTTAGTTTCGCATTAATGTCTTTTGCTTTTTCTTTTCTAGCCGCTGGTTTCTGACAAACGATTATTACATTGACCTCATTAGCTTGTTGTTACTACAGTTTGTACAGCTGACAGTATGTCTATTGGGTTCCTGGCTCCGGCAGCTGTTACTGTCTCCCAATAGTGTCATCCCAACAATTTACACACAGACACAAACACTAGGCTGACCATACTAATTTGAGCTTAAACTGGGACGTGCTAAGCAAGTCAGTTTAAACCTTCCCTTTATTCTCTAGGTCACCGAGGTAACGGGTTAATTAGTCAGTCCACAGTAGTAGTAAATCATGACAAATTTTCGCCAAATAATAAAAGAAACAATTTGCTGTTGTTTAACTGCATTGGGAAAGGGGGGCGGGGGGTCATGCTGCAGCCACAATTTGGAGCGAAATATCACAATCGATTTCACTGCACATCTGGCATTCCGATGCGTGCCCAGTCCTCTGATGCAGCAGCTACTCCAAGGTACTGCTACTAGTTGTTCCCATGAGGTGTTGGTTATAAGGTCTTCTAACTCAAACTCGAAGGTGGCATAGACGTGCTTCATCAGGCTTTACACCCATGTCACACAATCGTGTTAGTGTCAGAGATTCGTCATTATCGACTAGCTAGTCCTTACAGTGTTAACGGTATCTGCTTTGTCCATGCCTCTTCCCATATGCCTTGGTGCATTGCTTGCCAGTGCAAATTTCCAATGCATTCTACCCATTCAGATCGCATGTCCCCCCATTCAGATCGCATGTCCCCCCATTCAGATCGCATGTCCCCTGTTGCCTGAAGCATGTTCTTGGTTCTCGAGCTAATTCCTAGATCTTTTTAAAACGGGACAATTAACCCTTTTTGTTAAGAGTACCGATGGGGACAGACGGGACACACCAAAAACACAGGACTTTTTCTTTCCAAACTGGGCATGTTGTCACTCTAACACACATAAACACACATACACATGCGGAGATTGTACAAGCCCCATGTATCCTGCTACCTTCAGAAATCACTGTGCGTGGAGTCACTTTTATTTTTGTTCCGGTTTATGCAGTCATCGATGGAAATAAAAGATCTGACATGTTGGCTGGATCCGCTATCAATACCGACGGTCAGCCTGTGGATTATGACTTTGGGGTTCATACTGAGGGGAGGATCTGAGCACCTATGGACATGTCCAGAGTGATGATAATGATGATAACTCAACTAACTAACTAACTAACTAACTAACTAACCTTCAGTACTTCAATTGTGTGCATCCCCAGCGCCGACACACGCCTGAGTGAACACAGAGACGCCTTGTGTATCGTCTACAGCAACGGCATGGTCTACAACGTGCCCCAGGTGGTCTACCAAAGCTCCTGCCCCATCGACGTCTACGTCTTCCCCTTTGATGTGCAGAACTGCACTCTGAGGTTCTGTTCATGGACCCACGACGGCACAGAGGTCGACCTAGTCTTTTACGAGCACAAGCAGTGGATTGACTTGTCCGAGTACATCGAAAGTAGTTCATGGTGAGTTCCCTACCGCTAACCAAATGGTATATTGTGACATTGTCAATTGTCTATACTGTATACCTTGATACAGCAACAGCAGCGATATCCCAGTTGAATACGACGTGGAAGAGCAAAATCAGCATCTCAGTCAATATATACAAATCCCCGGTATTGTCTTCTTCTTATACAGATGTGAGAGTTGGACTCTCACTGCGGGAATGGAAAGAAAGATTCAGGCTTTCGAATGTAAATGCTATAGACGAATTTTTACGAATTAGTTATTGAAAACATAAAACCAACAAATATGACAGAAGGAACTAACAAAGATACTTTATTTGCCAATGGTCATAAATTGGGCCAAATGGAGACTGAATAAACACATTTGCACGACATCGGCAGCTCCAGTTGGCAGTGGTGAAACGGGGCAAGCTAGCTTAGTTCAGGCATGAAAGGAAACGTGACAGGCTAGCTTAGTTCGGGCACGCGGGAAAACGTGGCAGACTAGCTTAGTTCAGGCACATAGTGAAACGTGGCAGTCTGGCTTAGTTCGGGCACGCGGGGAAACGTGGCAGGCTAAATTAGTTCAGGCACATGGTGAAACGTGACAGGCTAGCTAAGTTCAGGCACATGGTGAAACGTGGCAAGCTAGCTTAGTTTGGGCACAAGTTGAAACATGGCAGGCTAGCTCAGTTCAGGCATGCTGTGAAACGTGACAGGCTAGCTTAGTTCAGGCACGTGATGAGACGTGATTCGATTGCAAATACTATTTCAAGGAACAAAAACAAAAAAAAGGAGGGGGGGGGGGTTGGGGGATGTCGGGGTGGTCGAAGTAGACGAGGCCAAAGAAGAAACTGATTTACACCACAGACGGAGCCATGCGATCTAAACAAACGACACAATAAACCCGTTACTGTACACAAAATACACAACTCGTTAGAGGTTCATCAAAGGAAAGAATCAACTACCTCGCTGCGAGTTAGGAATTGTCACACATAGTACCTGCTGATGATGTTTGTTGGTGATCCCTCAGGTCCATCATGGACGTGCCCGCCTACAGACACGTCAAGTACTACTCGTGTTGCCCCGGCAGACACTGGGTCGACTTGCAGTACCACATCATCTTCCAGAGACGCTCGGCTCTCTACAACTACATCCTGGTGCTTCCCTGCATCTTGCTGACCTCCATCACCCTCATCCTCTTCTTCATTCCTCCAGAATCCCCAGCCAAAATGCAGCTAGGTCAGTGCAATGTTGTGTTCTCGTTACTTTTATTTCATCGCTGCAATCATTGGTTGTCATGTTTTCCTCGCCTTTTATTCGTTCAATCTTTAGGTGTCGTCACGTTTACTCTTGTCATCGCAATCATTTGTTGTACGCATCATGTTTTTCTCACTGCAGTCATGGGTTGTCACGTTTCCTCCCCCTTTTTTTGTTTAATCATTGGGTGTCATCAAGTTTACTCTATCATCGCAATCATTTGTTGTACGCATCATGTTCATTCATCACTACAATAATTGGTTGTGACGTTTTTTTCTTCTTTCATCTGTCCAAACCTTGGGGTTCATCAAGTTAACTTTATTGTCGCAATTATTAGCTCTGGTCACGTTAACCTCATCAGTGCAATAATGTGTACGTTTATCTCATCAGTGCAAATAAATGGTTGTCATGTTTATCTCATCAGTGCAAATAAATGGTTGTCATGTTTATCTCATCAGTGCAAATAAATGGTTGTCATGTTTATCTCATCAGCTCAAAAAATGGTTGTCATGTTTTTCTTATGAACACAATAAAAGAATACCTCATTTATCTCATCAATGAAAGCAATGTTTGTGGTCACGTTTATCTCATCGGTGCAATAAATGGTTATGACCACGTTTATCTTATCAGTGCAATAAATTGCTGTCATATTTGTCTTATCAGTGCCATAAATGGTAGTGGTCACGGTTTTCACATCAATGCAACAAATTGTTTTGGTAACGTTTGTTTTATCTGTGCAATAAATGGTTTTCACGTATGTCTAATCAGTGCAAAAAATGGTTTTCACGTATGTCTAATCAGTTAAAAAAAATGGTTTTCACGTATGTCTAATCAGTGCAATAAATGGTTTTCACGTATGTCTAATCAGTGCAATAAATGGTTTTCATGTATGTTTAATCAGTGCAATAAATGGTTTTCACGTATGTCTAATCAGTGCAATAAATGGTTTTCACGTATGTCTAATTAGTGCAATAAATGGTTTTCACGTATGTCTAATCAGTGCAAAAAATGGGTTTCATGTATATCTAATCAGTGCAATAAATGGTTTTCACGTATGTCTAATCAGTGCAATAAATGGATATGTCCATGTTTTTCTTATCAGTTCAATAAATAGTTGTGTCCATGATTTATCTCATCGGTGCAATAAATACTTGTGTCCATGATTTATCTCATCGGTGCAATAAATGGGTGTGTCCATGTTTTATCTCATCAGTGCAATAAATGGTTGTGTCCATGTTTTATCTCATCAGTGCAATAAATGGTTGTGTCCATGTTTTATCTCATCAGTTCAATAAATAGTTGTGTCCATGATTTATCTCATCGGTGCAATAAATGGGTGTGTCCATGTTTTATCTCATCAGTTCAATAAATAGTTGTGTCCATGATTGATCTCATCGGTGCAATAAATGAGTGTGTTCATGTTTTATCTCATCAGTTCAATAAATAGTAGTGTCCCTGATTTATCTCATCGGTGCAGTAAATGAGTGTGTCCATGTTTTATCTCATCAGTTGAAAAAATAGTTGTGTCCATGATTTATCTCATCGGTGCAATAAATGAGTGTTCCATGTTTTTCTCATCAGTGCAATAAATGGTTGACGTTTGTCTCACTGGGGCAATTATATGTTCTCATGTTTATCTCATCGGCAAAAAAAGCGTTTTCGCGGTTATTTTATCAGTGCAATAATTGGTTGTCACGTTTATCTCATTCGTTCAGTCATTGGTCGTCATTAAGTTTATCTCCTTCGTTAAAAATTTCGTCACATTTATCTTGCAGTCATTATATTTTAGTCACTGATCACAAGCAGACAAGCTTATAGCTACTGTAGTCTTCGGCTGATCTTCAGTGCCGTTCGGTCAACAACCACTTTGTGCATGTGCTGACTGTAACTTTGTGTGCCCTAGATGTGACAGGAAGTCTGGTAATGACTGTCTGCTGTCACAGAAAGTCTGGTAGTGACTGTCTGCTGTCACATGAAGTCTGGTAGTGACTGTCTGCTGTCACATGAAGTCTGGTAGTGACTGTCTGCTGTCACAGGAAGTCTGGTAGTGACTGTCTGCTGTCACAGGAAGTCTGGTAGTGACTGTCTGCTGTCACAGGAAGTCTGGTAGTGACTGTCTGCTGTCACAGGAAGTATGGCAGTGACCGTCTGCAGTCACAGGAAGTATGGCAGTGACTGTCTGCTGTCACAGGTAGTCTTGTAGTGACTGTCTGCTGTCACAGGAAGCCTGGTAGTGACTGTCTGCTGTCACAGGAAGTCTTGTAATGACTGTCTGCTGTCACAGGAAGTCTGGTAGTGACTGTCTGCTGTCACATGAAGTCTGGTAGTGACTGTCTGCTGTCACATGAAGTCTGGCAGTGACTGTCTGCTGTCACAGGAAGTATGGCAGTGACTGTCTGCTTCACAGGAAGTATGGTAGTGACTTTCTGCTGTCAAAATGTTTCTGTCTGATAACGGGCTCGAAGGCTTTGAGTGCTGCCTTGTGTGTGTCCATAAAGCGCTTTTTCTGGCCCCCATGAGAACGTCTACATTCTTGTGAACACCATAAAATACTATTTTTGGAAGCCGGTGATCTGGCAAAGGGACGAGGTGACCTGCCTGCCTATCAAATTGGTTTTTGAATCCGAATGGTATCGATGCTGGATACGACAGTGTCCAAGAGCCTGTATTACCACTTGATGATTAGTATCTTTCTCAGACAGACTGTATGGAAGTGGTTAAGCTTCTTTGCCTGAGGTCTTTTACAGTGCAGATTTCACAGGCATTCACCAGCACTAGAAGCATTGCAGCTCTGTATACCTTCAGTTTGATTTGCTGATCGATGGCACTACGATGATGCCAGACACGGATGTATAATCTGCCAAATGTGCAGCTGGCTTTAGAGATCCTGGTGTTTACCTTATCGTCAGTTATGACATTTTAATGTGGTGCATTATGGAATAAATACATAATTTAATGACCGTTTTAGTGAATCTTTTATTTCCAACAGGTCTTGCCGTGTTTACAGCATTCTTCGTTCTGCTGCGATTGCTGGAAAAAAACTTGCCTCCTGGCACAATCAGGATGCCACTGTTAGGTGAGTACGTCAGCGTGTGGAAGAGAGACACTCGTTCATTGTCAACACAAAAGCTAAATAGGGAGTTCGGTTGATATATTACAGGGACTTAACAGCTGCAGGTCATGCATACTGAGAGCATTCATAGACGATGTAAACGACTAGTAAGCTACACATGAGCCATTTTCTCTTTAATGTCATATTCGAGTTAAATTTCAATAAGAGTATATATTTGTTCCATTCTAGTTTAATGGTATACGGGAGTTATGTATCTGTCCCCTCGAGGGATGTGTTGTATATTTATTACTCAAAAAAGTTTCTCCTTGGAACTCTTTTTGAGTTTTTTCTAAAAGCATTAACCAAAATCATAAATGATTTGGCAATGATCAACTACGCTTTCTTGGTCTGATCATTTGCTTTTATTTTTTCTTCTGATTCCTGTCAAAGTTTTTGTTTCTTGATTTGACTCCTGTCGTTTGTTTTTTGGCTACTTGTCTGTTAATTTTTTAATATATGTATGTTTATGTTAATGTTAAATTCTTTTATTTATGCGCATGTCTGTAAATACATTAGAACCTGTCTGTGAGTTATGCTTGTGTCTCCGACTGTATCACTTGTATCCCCTGATTGATGCCCACCGCTCCGCGGGTATCCATGTTACCTCTGATGTTTCTACAGTCCCACTCCGCATGTATCATTGTTACATCTCTACTGCCCCACTCCGCATGTATCAATGTTACAACTCTACTGTCCACTCCGCATGTATAATTGTTACAACTGTTGTTTCTACAGTCCCACTCCGCATGTATCCTTGTTACATCTCTACTGTCCCACTCCGCATGTATCATTGTTACATCTCTACAGTCCCAATCCGCAAGTATCATTGTTACATCTGTTGTTTCTACAGTCCCACTCCGCATGTATCATTGTTACATCTCTACTCTCCCACTCTGCATGTATCATTGTTACATCTGTTGTTTCTACAGTCCCACTCCGCATGTATCATTGTTACATCTCTACTGTCCCACTCCGCATGTATCATTGTTACATCTCTACAGTGCCACTCAACATGTATCATTGTTACATCTGTTGTTTCTACAGTCCCACTCCGCATGAATCATTGTTACATCTCTACTGTCCCACTCCGCATTTATCATTGTTACATCTCTACAGTGCCACTCCGCATGTATCATTGTTACCTCTCTACTGTCCTACTCCGCATGTATCAATGTTACATCTCTACTGTCCCACTCCGCATGTATCAATGTTACATCTCTACAGTGCCACTCCGCATGTATCAATGTTACATCTCTACTGTCCCACTCCGCATTTATCATTGTTACATCTCTACAGTGCCACTCAACATGTATCATTGTTACATCTCTACTGTCTCACACTGCAGGTATCATTGTTACATCTGTTATCTCTACAGTCCCAATCAGCATGTATCATTGTTACAACTGTTGTCTCTACAGTCCCACTCCGCATGAATCATTGTTACATCTGTTGTCTCTAAGTCCCACTCCACATGTTTTATTGTTACATCAGTCGTTTCTACAATCCCGCTCCACATGTATCATTGTTACATCTGTTGTCTCTACATTCCCACTCCGCGAGTATCATTGTTACATCTGTTGTCTCTACAATCCCACTCCGTATGTATCACTGTTACAACTGTCGTCTCTACAGTCCCAATCCGTATGTATCATTGTTACATCTATTGTCTCGACAGTCCCACTCCGTATGTATTACTGTTACATCTGTTGTCTCTACAGTCCCACTCCGTATGTATCATTGTTATTTCTGTTGTCTCTACAGTCCCACTCCGCGAGCATCATTGTTACATCTGCTGTCTCCACTGTCCAACCCCGCGAGTATCATTGCTACATCTGTTGTCTCCACAGTCCCACTCTGCGAGTATTATTGTTACATCTGTTATCTCTACAGTCCCACTCTGTGAGTATTATTGTTACATCTGTATCTCTACAGGCCTAATCTGCGAGTATCATTCTTACATCTGTTGTCTCTACAGTCCCATTCCGCGAGTATCATTGTTACATCTGTTATCTCTACAGTACCACTCTGCGAGTATCATTGTTACATCTGCTGTCTCCACTGTCCCCCCCCCCCCGCGAGTATCATTGCTACATGTGTTGTCTCCACAGTCCCACTCTGCGAGTATTATTGTTACATCTGTTGTCTTTACAGTCCCATTCCGCGAGTATCATTGTTACATCTGTTATTTCTACAGTCCCACTCTGCAACTTTCATTGTTACGTCTGACGTCTCCACAGTCCCACTACGCATGTATCTTTTTAATATCATATGTTGTCTCTACAGTCCCACTCCGCGAGTATCATTGTTACATTTGTTGTCTCTACAGTCCCACTCCGCGAGTTTGATTGTTACATCTATTGATTCTACAGTACCACTCTGCGAGTATCATTGTTACATCTGTTGTCTCTACAGTCCCACTCCGTATGTATCACTGTTACATCTGGTGTTTCAACAGTCCCACTCTCAGAGCCAGTGTGTCAACTTCTGTGTCAGCGATACTTGCGGCCGACTTTGCACGATTCTGCGCCGGTCCCTAGTGTGTGCATAACTTGACCAACATTTAATGATGACTTTCATCAGGCACCTAAGATACAGATGCCCAAGTGTCTCCATTACCTGAACAGTCCCACAAGCGTTATAAGAATGGTGACGTTTGTGTTGTGTTAATGAATCAACCGTATCTTGGCTTTGATGAAATGTTCGTCTGCTAGCTTCACTTGATTCATTAGCATTGAGTTCAAACCTCGAGCGGGTCGACTGTTATACATGAAACTGTCGTAAACCCACATTTTCATAGATCCTTAAGCACTCTCGGTTGGCGATGTGGTCACTATTACGCTGGCAGTCTTTATATCTCAGGAGATTTCACGATACCTAGTTTCAGACTGGTCGAACGACAGGAAAAGATCAGCTGTTAAAATTCAACCCCATGAGTGCTGGAACTGGTGACTAGCTGACGGACAGGCGGACGAGCTGGCCACTGGGCAAGTGTTGGTTCCGTAGTTTCTCAAAATAATCCCCAGAATATGCTTTCACATCCACATTGTTTTACAAGAGGCTAAAGCCAGGAAATCACATAATCACAGACTGCCGACTGAAATAGCTGACATTCTCGGCAACATCTTGCCAGGACAGCGGAGATTAATGAGCACAGCGAGTGAGGAGGACAGCAAGGGATGAAGACAGCGAGTGAGGAGGACAGCAAGTGATGAAGACAGCGAGTGAGGAGGACAGCAAGTGAGGAAGACAGCGAGTGAGGAGGACAGCGAGTGATGAAGACATCGAGTGAGGAGGACAGCAAGTGAGGAAGACAGCGAGTGAGGAGGACAGCAAGTGATGAAGACAGCGAGTGAGGAGGACAGCAAGTGAGGAAGACAGCGAGTGAGGAGGACAGCAAGTGATGAAGACAGCGAGTGAGGAGGACAGCAAGTGATGAAGACAGCGAGTGAGGAGGACAGCGAGTGATGAAGACAGCGAGTGAGGAGGACAGCAAGTGATGAAGACAGCGAGTGAGGAGGACAGCAAGTGATGAAGACAGCGAGTGAGGAGGACAGCAAGTGATGAAGACAGCGAGTGAGGAGGACAGCAAGTGAGGAAGACAGCGAGTGAGGAGGACAGCAAGTGATGAAGACAGCGAGTGAGGAGGACAGCAAGTGATGAAGACAGCGAGTGAGGAGGACAGCGAGTGAGGAGGACAGCGAGTGAGGAAGACAGCGAGTGAAGAGGACAGCGAGTGAGGAGGACAGCGAGTGAGGAAGACAGCGAGTGAGGAGGACAGCGAGTGAGGAGGACAGCGAGTGAGGAGGACAGCGAGTGAGGAGGACAGCGAGTGAGGAAGACAGCGAGTGAGGAGGACAGCAAGTGATGAAGACAGCGAGTGAGGAGGACAGCAAGTGATGAAGACAGCGAGTGAGGAGGACAGCAAGTGAGGAAGACAGCGAGTGAGGAGGACAGCGAGTGATGAAGACAGCGAGTGAGGAGGACAGCAAGTGATGAAGACAGCGAGTGAGGAGGACAGCAAGTGATGAGGACAGCAAGTGATGAAGACAGCGAGTGAGGAGGACAGCAAGTGATGAAGACAGCGAGTGAGGAGGACAGCAAGTGAGGAAGACAGCGAGTGAGGAGGACAGCGAGTGATGAAGACAGCGAGTGAGGAGGACAGCGAGTGAGGAAGACAGCGAGTGAGGAAGACAGCGAGTGAGGAAGACAGCGAGTGAGGAAGACAGCGAGTGAGGAGGACAGCGAGTGAGGAAGACAGCGAGTGAGGAAGACAGCGAGTGAGGAAGACAGCGAGTGATGAGGACAGCGAGTGAGGAAGACAGCGAGTGATGAAGACAGCGAGTGAGGAGGACAGCAAGTGATGAAGACAGCGAGTGAGGAAGACAAGGGGGAGATATTCTTAAGAGTTGCTTATCACGTTACGGAAATATAGCAGCTCATTAATTTGTTACGCAAATTAATTTGTTACGTTCAGACGCGAAGTAACGTAATTATCCCGGCCATCTAGCAACTCACTCACATGGCAAGCTAGCAAACCACTCACCTGGCCAGATAGCAACTCACTCACATGGCAAGCTAGCAACCCACACACCTGGCCAGCTACCAAACCACTCACCTGGCCAGATAGCAACTCACTCATCTGGCCAGGTAGCAAAACACTCACCTGGTCAGGTATCAACCCACACACCTGGATAGGTAGAAAGTCACTCATCTGGCCAGGTAGCAACACACTTATCTGACAGGTAGCAACATACTCACCTGACCATGTAGCAACTCACTGACCTGGCCAGGTAGCAACTCACTCACCTGGCCAGGTAGCAACCCACTCACTTGGCCAGGTAGCAACCCACTCACCTGGCAAGGTAGCAACCAACTGACATGGCCAGGTAGCAACACACTCACCTGGTCAGGTAGCAACTCACTCATCTGGCCAGGTAACAACACACTCACCTGGCCATGTAACA